TGTCTATTTCCTTTACCAATTGGGAAGGTTTTCTTCCACTAATTTTTCAGATAGATTTCCAATTTCTTGCTCTTTCTCTTCTCCTTCTGGCACCCCATATGAGGCAAATATTGGACCTCTTAAAGTTGTCCCAGAGGCTCTTTATACTATCCTCATTTTTTGGATTCTTTTTTCTTCTTCTTCTGTGTGGTTGGTTTTTGCTTCCTTATGTTCCATGTCATTGATTTGATTCTTCAGTTCATCCTTTCTACTGTTGTTTCCCTGTAAATTGTTCTTTATTTCCTCTAGTGTATTCTCGTTTCTGACTTGGTCTTTTTTTATGCTGCTGAGGTCCTTTCTAAGTTCACTCAGCATCCTTATAAACAATGTTTTGAACTCTGCATCCGATAGATTGCTTATCCCCATTTCATTTAGCTCTTTTTCTGGAGTTTTGATCTGTTCTTTCATTTGGGCCATGTTTCTTTGTCTCCTTGTTTTTGCAGGCTTTCTGTGTTTGTTTCTATGTATTAGGTAGACCTGCTCTGACTCTGTGTCTGGTAGTGTGGCCTAATGTAATAGGTGCCCTGTAGGGTCTGGTGGCACAGCCTCCCCTATCACACAAGCTGGGTATTTGAGGTGCATCAAGCTGGGTATTTGAGGTGCATCCTTCTAGTGGGCTGAGTACATCCTCTTGTAGTTGAGCCTTGGTGGCTGTTGGCAAATCACTGGGAGAGATTTACCCAGGCCAGTCAGCTGCAAGGACTGGCTGTGACTACTGACCACCACCCTCCATCCTCCATGAAGGATCATCTGTGCAGGGACAGGGTGGTGGTGCACTGATGTGGTCTGTAGCTCTCCACTGGGTGTATTGGCCCTGGGGTTTCCTGGGTGGTACAAGCCAAAGTCAGCCCCCACCTTTGTTTTGCCTGGAGCACGCTGCCTGAGGTATAAAGCAATCTGAGATGGTTGCTACCTGTGCTAGGCTTGGGGATTCCCAGGTGAAGCCAACCTGTGACTCTAATCTGGCTGCCACTAGGACTCACTGAAGCCAGCTGTTGCTTGTTTGATAGGATAAGTTGGGTTGAGTAGAGCCTCTGTGGATCTCAAAAATGGGTCACACAGCATTAGCCAGTTGATGGAGTCTCAGTTATGGCACCGTCGACCTGTTCCATTGGGGGAGGGCTCAGCATAGGGACAATAACCTCTGCTGGCCCCAATGCCAGACACTTCAGTCTTTCCCTGTATACCACTGAGCCTTATAGGTTGCCACCTCGGTGCTGGAGCCCAGAGGCAGTGAGTCTGAGTAGGTGAGTCTATGTGTGGTTTCCCCAAGAGGAACTGCTTAGGGCTCCAGCAGCCTCCTTCGCTGACTCAATCTTCTCTGGTTTTCACAGCCAGAAGTTTGGGGACTTACCTTCCTGGTACTGGAATCCTGGTCTGGGGGGCTGGTGTGGGTTAGGCACACCTCATTCCCCAGCTGTCCATTCAGAATTTTTATCCACGTTGGTGTGGGACCAGCCCATTCCTCCTCTGCACCCCTCCCACCAGTCTGGGTGGATGTGGTTTCTTCAATTCTGTAGTTGTCAGACTTCCATTCAACTTGATTTCTGAAATTCCTGACTGATGGTGGTTCTATATTTTAGTTGTAATTTTAATGTGGTTGCGCAAAGAGGCGAGCCATGTTTGCCTATGTCACCATCTTGACCAGAAGCCTCCCAAATACTTCTTTTATTTTTTATTTTTTAAATATGTTTTATTGATTGTGCTATTACAGTCTTTCCATTTTTTTCTCCCCTTTATTCATCTCTGCCCTATAACTCCTGTCCCTACTAGTATTCCCCAACCTTTGTTCGTGTCCATGGGTCATACATATAAGTTCTTTGGCTTCTCCATTTCCCATACTATTCTTAACCTCCCCCTCTCGATTTTGTACCTACCCTTTGTGCTTCTTATTCCCTGTACCTTTTCCCCCATTCTCCCATCTCCCCCTCCCCTCTGATAATCCTTCATGTGACCTCTATTTCTGTGAATCTTCCTTTCCTACTTGTTTGCTTACTTCATTATTGTTTTTTTTAGTTTCAGTTGTTGATACTTGTGAGTTTTTTGTCATTTTATTGTTCATATTTTTTATCTTCTTAGATAAGTCCCTTTAACATTTCCTATAATAAGGATTTGGTGATGATAAACTCCTTCAACTTGACCTTACTGGGAAATACTTTATCTGTCCTTCCATTCCAAATGATAGCTTTGCTGGATAGACTAATCTTGCATGTAGGCCCTTGCCTTTCATGTTAGAATACTTCTTTCCAGCCCCTTCTTGCCTGTCAGGTTTCTTTTGAGAAATCAGCTGACAGTCTTATGGGCACTCCTTTTGTAGGTAACTGTCTCCTTTTCTCTTGCTGCTTTTAAGAGTCTCTCTCCTTATCTTTAATCTTGGGTAATATAATTGTGCCTTGGGGTGTGCTTTCTTGGGTCCAAACTTCTTTGGGACTCTCTGAGCTTCCTGGACTTCCTGGAAATCTATTTCCTTTGCCAGATTGGGGAAGTTCTCCTTTATTATGTTTTCAGATAAGTTTTCAATTTCTTACTCTTCCTTTTCTCCTTCTGTCACGCCTATGATTCAGATGTTGGAATGTTTAAAGTTGTGGTTAAACATTCCTAAGCCTCTCCTTGTTTTTTTTTGAATTCTTGTTTCTTCATTCTGTTCCTGTCAAATGTTTATTTCTTCCTTCTGGTCCAAACCATTAATTTGAGTTCTGGCTTCACTGTTGGTTCCCTGTACATTTTTCTTTTCTTTTTTTAATATTTTTTATTTTTTTTATTTTAATCTTTGTTCAAGTACAGTTTTCTCACTTTTACTCCCATTCCAGCCCACCCATCCAACCCTCCCCACTTCCCTCCCATTACCACCCTCCCCCTAGTTTTTGTCCATGTGTCCTTTAAATTTGTTCCTGTAACATTTTTCTTGATTTCACTTTTCATAGCCTTCACTTTTTCCTCTATTTTGTGACCATAATCAACCATTTCTGTGAGCATCCTTATTACCAGTGTTTTGAACTGTGCATCTGATAGGTTGTCTCTCTCTCTTCATCGCTTAGTTGTATTTTTTCTGGAGCTTTGATCTGTTCTTTTGTTTGGACTGTATTTTTTTTGTCTTGGCACACCTGTTACTTAGTAATGGGCAGAGTCTTACTAGATGAATGTTTCTTCTTTAACTCCTTGGTTGTCCGACTTCCATACAGTTCAATTTTCTGGCAGTTCTGGTTATTTATTGTTTTTAAATTTGATGTTGTCTTTCTTTTGGTTGTGAGTGTATCTACCTACACCTCTATCTTGGTCAGAAGTTCCAAATATTCTAATAGAACTTTCCCTCTTACCCCATACTCCTATTGATTTAATCATTGTTTTTACATTTCTTCTGTGATTATAATGGGATTTTGAAGAGGAAGAAAGAGGTATTTGCTCAGTCTTTTTAAATTGTACAAGAACACAGATTTTTTGTGTGTAAATGATTTTAGGTGTTGCACTTAGTGTGTGTTGTGCTCTGCCATTGCTATGTAGTTGGCCCTCCGTGCCCATGAGTTCTACATCCGCAGGTAGAGCCCAACGAAGGGACTTACTCATCTTCAGAGGAACAACATGTGTATCCCACACATGTAAAGTAATTTTGGTGCAGTCATAACTGGCATAGTCATTTCTAAGTTTTTCAGCTGCAGTCTGTATAGAACAACTCAAATACCTACAGGGATAGGGTAGAAAACAGGTGATAAACAGAACAGGTACAAGGCTATGAAAAGTTGTTGAGATGGTAAAAAACTGTGTCATGCTGATGAAGCAAGAAAAATCTACAAAAGCTGCTAAAAGAGTAAATCTTTGATTTTCTCACACAAACACACACACACAAAATGGTGATTATGTGATATGATCCAGGTGTTAACTAATGCTGTGGTGGTATCATTTGGTGATATATGTGTGTACAATCAGCATATTGTACACCTTAAACTTACACAATGTTGTATGTCAGTTGGCGGCAGGGGCAGGTCTGCATAATCTGACTCTCTTCACTGTGGTTCAGGTCGTGGGTTGTGTGAATGCCCCCCTCTTGAGTCTGCAGCGCACAGCCTGCATAGCTGTGCCCAGCAGCCTTGAGAGTTTGGGCTTCTGTTGCCTTTGTCGTTGTAAAGGCCTGTGTGCATCAAGGATCTTACTAGTGTCACTTATGAAAATGTTTATATGTAAAGATGGTCATTTTCCTAACCATGAAAAATTGAAAGCACAATATATATCAGAATGTAAGAGAATGGCTAAATGACTGTTACGGTTTATGGAAATTATGCCATTTAAAGTTTTGTTTATGATAGATGAAATAGTGTGGTAAAATAATTGTGATATGTTTAAAAATCAAAATTAAGGCTGGTATGGCTCAGTGGATTGAGCATCAGCCAGTGAATGGGTTGCGGTTTTAATTCCTAGTGAAGGGCATAGGCCTGGGTTGTGGCCACATCCACAGCTGGGGGCGTGGCATGCAAGAGGCAACCAATCAGTGTACCTCTGGCACATCGATGTTTCTCTCCTTCTTTTTCTCCCTCTCTTCCCCCTTTTTAAAGGTAAATAAATGAAATCTTTTGAAAAAAAATCAAAATTGAATATTACAATGAATACTATGAAAATATCACAACACAACTATGTTGTGATCTCTGGGTGCTGGAATTATATATGGTTTTTCCTGCCTTCCTTAAGGTTTTCAAATTTAATTACCATAATCATATATTATTTTTACAGTGAATAGCAAAAATTATTGTTTTAATGACTGTGGACTTTCTTCTTGCTATGGTACATTTCTGATTTTCATGTGTTAGCTATTTTTTAATGTCTTGAGCTTATTTCTCAAACTAGTTTTTAGTGGGCCAGTTTTGATGATTTTGGTGTTTAGAGGCAATAAGAAAGTTGCAGATAAATCTTGTGAAACTTACTCTACCCAGTTCTACAATGAGACAAAAAGAAAATTCTTTTTCTTTCAGCTTGCCAGTGCAATGGCCACAGCAAGTGCATCAATCAGAGTATCTGTGAGAAATGTGAGGACCTGACCACGGGCAAGCACTGTGAGACCTGTATATCTGGCTTCTATGGCGACCCTACCAATGGCGGGAAATGTCAGCGTAAGTCAAATCCATCAGTCAGGGTTACTAACTGCAGCCCAGGCGGAACACAGTGCTTCTGTTTGATTTGACTATCTAGGAGGAAAACCAGTTGGTTTTGGATACTGCATTTCTTAAGTCATACTTGTCAGAAGCTCAGCTGAGCCTGGGAGAAAGTGAGCTGAGCTGCCAAGTGTCAGAGTAGCCAGTTAATGCAACAAACCAAAAATGAAAGAATTAAGCTTTTAATCACTTGCTGTGACAGTATCAGAAAGAGGCTTAAACTGGAAAGGCACTGACCCCCCTTGTTCCACGTTCCCTCCTGGAATGGCACACAGGTTGAGCATCAGGTGGACGAGCACAGAAGTGGGGACTGGTCTTCTCCGTGTTGAGGGAGGCCCAACAGAATGCTCAGCAAATGCCTCTGATGGGCCCTGGGGCAGGGAGGGAGGGTGAGCGGGGAGGGCTGGGAATGAAAAGCTACTGAGGACTGAGAGTGGGGAAAGATCTTCAAGGCCTCCCCCTCCTCCCTCACAAGGGAGCCCAGCAGAGGCCTGCAGATGACCTCTGCCTGAGACCTCAGATAGGGTGACCTAGGTATGAGGGTGTCTGAAGTAGGGATGCAAATCTGTGAAAGCAGTGGCCAACCAGGGGGCCCGAGACCTTGACTGCAACTCTTCAGAGATTTCCTCCCAGACTGGTGTGGGGAGGGCAGCTTTCTGTGTAAGGCCTGCCAGGGAAAGCCTGTGGTTGGAAAAACTCACACCTAGGTTTTTGACTAGGAGCTGGACTCCTCAGCACTTCTAGTATATCTTAAATATTTAGGTACTCTTATGTTTCCCCATACACATCAGATAGATTCCTGCAAGCAATGGGATGTTTTATTGTTACAACATAAATTATGGTTTTTTTTATAAATGACCAGTAGTACCAGTGAACCCATTATTGGTTTCTTTTAGTTTCCAGTGGAAAGACCCATCAGGTTCTGAGCAGGGAAATAAATAAGAAAATCTCTAGCTACTCCCCAAATTCCACCTCCAAACTCCTTAGTGTGGACCTTGAGAAAGGTCTGGTCCCAGAGCAGCTGGGAGAGAGCTCTGTTCCAGCGGTGTATCCCTCAGCTTCTCTGGGGTTCAGTTTCCTCATCAGCAAAGTGGGGACATGAAGGGGGTTCTTGAAATGAAAGCAGTCCAAGGGATGCATGACGTGTAGTCATCACTCAGCAGATGTGAGCAATTATTACTCTTCTAATGCCATTTTCTGCCACTTTCCAATAAAATTTCTTGCTCAGATTAAAAGATCATTCAGTAAAAATATTTTCCCACTCCTGTGAATAGACTTCATCCATTAGATAGTAATCAGAGTACCTAACCTTACTGATAATTGTATACAAGGCATTGTGCTGGCAGCCACCTGAGACATAGGGGCTTTTATTGTCCCCATGATCGTGGAACCTGCCCAGCTTCTCACTGCAAGAGGTGGCCGTGCTGGGAACCCTCTCCAGGATGTCTGACTTTAACTCTTGGGCCTTGTACCTCCAAGTGCCAAGCTCAGCTGGGTCTGTGCCTTGTTCTTATCATCCCCCTTCCTGCATCTGCCGTCTAGAAAAATTACATCCTGCCCTGTAGCACTTGTTGGGCTTCAGTACTATTTTTTAGAACTTAGAGCTAACTTTATTTTTTAGAGCCCCTGTCCACAACAGAAAGCATGACTTTAAAATACCGTGAGCGGCACCATGTGTTTTATGTTTTCCTCGTAGAGTTGTTGTATGGTCCTTAAGCTGAGGATAATGGCCATGAGTTATTGAGTGCTCGCTGTATTTCATTTACTATCTCACTTCACCCATCCTCACAACAACCCTATGAAATAGGTACTACCATTATCTCCATCATATAGAGGAGGAAACAGAGACTTACAGGAGTTAAATAGCATGGCCAAAGTTAAAAAGAAGCCAAGTGGAGGGGACTGAATTCAAAGCCAGGCAAACTGACTGCAGGCCTTTGCTTTTTATGAATACACTGTACCCCCTTCTCCGTACTCAGCTGAGCCAAAAGTTGAACACTCATGTTTCTGAGTGTTCGTCCACTCTGTTACCTGCTTTACTAATTTTGTGTCACAGGTTCCTTTGGGTCATTTTTTTTCTCTGCAAGATTTATTTTAAAAGTATACCGATCTCCAGCCTAACACCTTTCATGTATTTGCAGAAAAACAGGGTGTAAAGTGAAAAGGAATTGAACAAAAAGACTCACTTATTTCAACTAGAGCATAAAATTTATCATGGCTCATACCTGTCAGACTAAAAAAAAAATGAGAGAGAGGTGTTGATGGCCAGAGGAGGGAGCTGGTAGGTTTTTTATGGAGGCTAAGAAGACAGCAAGAAAGGGTGGTGAGTTCTGAATAGCCCCTGAAACACTGACCTGCCACTGGAATCCCACCCCAGTTCTGAGCCCTGCTGTGATTTAAAACATGACCATTGTAGAGCAGGCACCTCAGCTGAGGCAGAGCACAGCGGGACCAGCCCTCCGCTCTGGCAGTCATGGCTCAGAACATCTCCGTGGGGCAGGGAGTGGCACACTGGAGACACTTCATAAATGTTTGCTGAACAAATGAATTGTAATAGTGAAAACCAGAGTGTCTTCTGAAAAGATAAAAATGGTGATTGCTTCAGAAGGCAGTGGAAATGACATTCTTTTCTCCTGTCTTTTGACTTTGGTTTTTTTAACATTTCCTTTACATTATTTGAGATAAATCATTAGCCGAAAAACAAATCTCACCCATTAAATACTTTTTTTAAAATCTGTTTTTCATATTAAATCCAATTCAGATAGATTTTTTTTTTTATAGAAAAAGTCTCAGATAGTAGTAATCTCCTAAGCCAGTTGTGACCAACATTCCTTTTCCTCCTTCCAGCATGTAAGTGCAATGGGCACGCAGCGCTGTGCAATACCAACACGGGCAAGTGTTTCTGCACCACCAAGGGCGTCAAGGGGGACGAGTGCCAGCTGTGAGTACCACCCTCCCGTGACCCCGGCCACAGGCCACACCTGGGTTTAGTGACTGGCAGCCCGGTCAGCTGGGTCTGTGCCTTGTTGCCATGGTCTCTGAGGGAGCCCTAAATTGATTGATTGGGAATTTTACCCTTCCCACTTCAGACAGGTCTAGCTTGGTCAGCCTCCGTACTGAGTAGGTTGTCAGTTTAGAAGCAATTCCTTAATGACTCTCTTTAAGTTTTATTTTCATGTCTGAGTGACACTGACATTTCCGGGGTTGCTGACTTGGATTAGTCATTTAACTTCAGCCACTACTCAATTTTTGTCATGTCACGAGATTGCACTCTTTTCCAAAAGATAAAGTTGGAAGAGCTGGTATTTTATTTGGCATTTTGGTTGTCTGATAGTGGAGATGAGCCTTTGGCCTTTAACACATCCCTCCCTGTTTTAGTATTTTCCTTGGCAAAGAATATGAGACATTTCCCAGGAGAGAGTCCGGGTCCTCACCCGTGAGGATGCAGGCAGAGGTGGGGTTTCAGCCCTGGCTGTGCCTCCACTGAGCAGAGTTCTCAGGAGGTAAACCACTTAACTGTGCTGAACTTCAGTCTCCACATCTATCAATAGTGGGACTAGCAATAATCATTTTTAGTGTCCTGAGATGTTGAGAGGAGAGAGATGGTTCTCCAATTAATATATTCCAGCCTTCCTCACCAGAAAACCTCACAAAACACACATTCCAGGTTTACTCATACCCCCAAGAAGAAACTTAGAAATGTTTAGTAGTACCAAAATCATGGGCTGATACAACCAGGTGTGTCCTTGGTAAACTCTGTCTAGCTTATGGAACACTAGTAACGTCACCAGTGACTGAGGCCTTGGTGGAGGTGTTCAGGAGGGAAATATTCTGTCTGCGTTTTCTAGTCTATACCAATGTGTACGTTTACTGGTTTCATGCTGCCCTAAAGCAAGTACAAGAAGAAAAGTTTAATCAAAGATTAATTCTTGAATCTAGATTCCTTTAAACAGAAAAATGTAATAGAGCAAAATTAATCATTCCTGTCCTCAGTTTTGATGCACAGCAAAGAAGTGAAGGTACAGGTCCAGGGAAAGCCTTCCTGAGAGATTTAGACACAAGCAAGTGCTGATCATCACCGTGGACAAAAGGATACAATATCCCTGTGTTGTTTATCTGGGGAAAGTGCTTGACCTAAGCTTTCTCCTTCTTTTTTCATAGTTAATAGCTACTGTGCCTAAATCGTTTTGTTACAGAATCCTACCAGTGCTGTTCTGGCACAGCTTTGGAGTTCAGTTGCCCACTGCCAAGAAGCATGACTCCCAGTGCAAGGGCTTGGTGAAAAAGGAAAGGGTTGTTCATTTAAACCTTGAACAGATTTAGAATAATGGCAGATTTCTGCCGTTAAGTCCTGCTCCCTTTAAAAACACCCCAAAACACACAATCCTGGCTCCCTTTGCCAAACCAGGTCAGTTTCAGAATACACCAGTCAGAGGTACCATCTTTCAGAAAAGCAGAAGCCTGCAGGTCAGCATTCCTGGTCACAGTTCAGCTCCAAGAACCTTTCATGAATCCGGATGGCTAGGCAGGTTCCCTGCAGCTCCACCTGCTCTGCCACCATCTGCTCCAAGCAGACTTGAATCTGGGTGGCTGGGCAGGTCCCTCCCACCCACTGCAGTGCCAGTTCCGGTGACTCACTGGACTTCCGACTTGAGACCTTCTGTCTCTTACTGCAGACCACATGACTCTTCTCCTCCTCTCAGATCTCCCAGCAGACCTCCCCTCTTACACTCAGACCTCGTGATGGGCTTCTCTTCTTTTTCAGCCCACCCTCATTTAAATGCTCAGCTCAGAACTTACTGTGTGGTCTCATATCCAGCCCTTCCTATGATGTGTTAGTGTTTGTCATTTTTGCCAGTTCCCCCGAGTTCTTTTGGCTTCTATCTTTAGTCAGGGCAGAAGTTCCCAGGAATACATGGACATCTGGGGTGGGCATCCGCCCCGTGCTTCGCAGGTGCTATTTGAGCTCCCCTGGCTGTGTCATGAATCCCTGAATGTCTTCACAGTCACATACATAATTAACCCTGGGTGGCAGCCCCCTTCCCTCCAGGAAGGCACAGCTGTTAAATTACCACTGTTGTGCAGTGTATCGTAAACACTATACCATCTACTCTTCCCTTCCCCCAGTCAAGAATTGTGGGGAATACGTTCTGCATCCTGTTGCAGTCCCCACTTCTAGACCTCTGGACCCTTTGTAATCTTACAAAGGGTAGTGGGCAAAGGTCTCATAGTCTTCTAGAACTACTTCCTGCTGGCCATGGTTGTAGTCTTACCTACCTTTGGATCCAGAGATCCCTAACCCAGTGGGGTATGGAGAGGAGGGTGGCCTTCACACTTGGGGAAGGACCTTACAGAATCCAGGTCAATTGCCTGTTGCTGGAGAGTGGCATTCTCAATGTCCAAATGTTGGCACTGCTGGAAAAATTGGCGTCTTTGTCGTATTCTGGAGGCAACAAATTTGGCAAGATGGTTAGGAGGCACAGTTAAAACCATAACCTCTAAATGACAAAGGTAGGGACCAATTCTACAGTGTCCCACATTGGGAAAAGAGTGTCTTCTCAGGAGGAAGGTGTACAAGGTATGACATCCCTGTCCAAAGCCCTTTTGCCCATCATACTTAGCTTGGGCCAAGGGGAATGTTCTAAGACTCCCCTTTTTTAACACCTTTGGGTCCATTCTGTAAAAGCCATTAGGGTAGGAAAGGAAACCAGTTTTAAAGTGAAGCCCACAGACTGCCCCATACTTTACAACCCACCCACTTAGTCCAGCCGAACCCTTGAGTCTCAGGGGGCGGCGATGCAGATGGGCTTCTTAAGTGAGGCCTATATTATAACCAGTCACTCAGGTAATGAGGTTATAGGCTTACACCCTATAAAACAGAAGGAAGAACACACATGTTAATTCACACAACAACCCACAAACCAGTCTCCGAGTCTGTGGGCCTGTCTTTTGGGAAGACATCCAGTTACAAGGCCTTTGCTGGAATGACATTTAACAGCGACAATATGACAGATCCTTCTGGCCTGTATGTTGAGTATCTTTGATGATGTCACACACCCAGTTTCAACTTTCAAATGAAAATAAACTTTGAAGACAGTTAGCTGAACTAGTCAGTCTGATGTCCACCACTGAGCATCATGATTTTCCTTGAATCACAATTTTTCTTCTTGAGATTACCTCATCGTCATCAAAGAGATTACATTAACTCCACTTTTAATTTTTTCTGTTCATTTGCATAAATACAACAGAGCAACAGTTGATCACACATGATTTTCAAGTCTGCTTTGCTGGAACTCACACAAGGAACCTTTAGATTGACCTTTTACTCCTCTCTTCAGGGCACAGAAGCTAAGCCACACAACTGCCATATGTCTTTGCCTGTAGCACCTGCCTCTCTCAAGTCCTGGAGGCTTCCATTGTGCCTTAAGGTTCCTCCTTACCATTCTTTCAGGAAAGCAACCTTTGTTCCTTCCCTGGGAAGGCTACCATGGACTGCACAACCAACCAAAGCGCCATGCCTTTTCTTGTGGGCTTTCACTAGCTTCAGAAGTCAATCCCAATTCCTCAGGGCTTTCTGGTAACAACCAGAACCTGGTCATGCCTCCTTCAGGCATGATGTTCCAGTCTGAGTCTTGGTTGACAAAACCACCATTGGCAACTGGTCTTGTTGGTTTTATGCAAAGAAACCTTTTGTCATTACTCCTTCAGAATGCCAAATCTAGAGGGATCAGGTAGGGAGAAAAATATAAAGTGTGAAGGAAAATCCGTGTCCTTCTGATATTCACTGAAATTGCATTTCCATGCCTTATACTTTCCCTTGTTTACTTTCCCAGTTGGTGTGAAGTTCTAACTCTTCCTGGGAAACTTCCGTTTCCTTTTAGAAGCAAAGCAAAAGCCAGAGCAAAGACAGAGTCCCAAAAGAAGAAGGGGGACTAGAACTAACCTTAGAGTCTTGTCTCATTTCCTTCTGGTCCCACTAACTGGTCACATGGGTGACCTTTCTTAGGTCCCACATGGCCCAAAGCCTCACTAGTAGAGGCACTCTCTCCCCCACCTGCTCCTCCCCTGGTCTCCTGGCAGAGACATGCTGTCACCACCTGGTCTTTTGACAGAAACATGGTCTCTTGCCCCAGGTCGGATTCTGCTGGCACCATGTGACCCTTCCTAGGTCCTACATGGCACAGGCATTCTCTCCAGCTGGTTTCACAGGTGACCTCTCCTAGGCCTCACTCGTCAAAAAGCAGAGACAGGGGATTCCTGATGTACCCAAACAGCACAGTTCAAACGATGGCCTCATAAGGTCAGAAAACAAGCAAACAGAGAATAACCACACCCAAGAGCTGAGGTTTCCTTTTCTTCAGGAAAGGAAACCTTTAAAATTTTACAACTTTTTTATATACCTTTACTCATTCACATTTAACCATCCACTTTCATCCCTTATTTTCCACACTGGGAAGGACCAGACTCCAACTCAGTATCTGGCAGCTAAAAGTCCCCTAGCTTTCCAAGCACATGCATAAAGTAAAAGAAACATGGTTACCCTATATTAGGTGACAGTTTCTTTTCCGGAAAAGGAATTTCAAGTCTCCTTCCGGAGTGCAGATCCAGCTTTCCCTTTCAGCATCAACCACAGCAGCAGGGTCTGCGTCCTTAAGCAGTTCCTGTTCATCCATGTGTGGTGGATCCAGGGCTTGATCCCATCAGCTTTAAGGAAGAATGTGTTGTCAACAGGACATCGTAGGGACTGGCCCATTTTCGGCCAGTTGCTCTTCAGGACCTTGAGTCTTCCAGGTCTTTAGAAAGACTTGGTCTCCTGGCCAGAAGGGGTACAAGGGCTTATTGGGTGGGTAGGCAAGCCTGCAATGAGCAAACTTGTGCAAAATGGTTAGTGTTTGCCCTAAATGTTGCACATACTGCTTAATTCTTGCCTCATGCTCCAGATCTGAAGGGGGTATTTCTAACCCAGAGATTTGGAGCCATCTCCCCTAAACCATTTCAAAAGGGCTCAATTTAAGTCCACTTCTGGGTGCCACCCTAATTTGGAACAAAGCAATGGGGAATGCCTGGTCACATTTTAAATGTGTTTCCTGGCATATTTTTGCCAGGGTCGTCTTTATTACATGATTTACTTTCTCAGTCTTTCCCTTGGATTGAGATCTCCAAGATGCATGCAGTTTCCATTGTTTTTGCAGTGACTGCCCAACCTTCTAGGAGATTTCTGAAGTGAACGATGGTCCATTGTCACTTTGAATGCTGTGAGGAAGTCTAAACCTAGGAATTATTTCTTTCAGCAACAGTTTTCCACCACAGTTGCCTTCTCAGTTTTGGTGGAGTATGCCTGTACCCATCCAGAAAAAATGTCCACAAAGACTAACAAAAATTTGAAATTCCCCCTGGCTTTAGGCATCTGTATGAAGTCTGTCTGCCAGTTCTCCAATGGATACCTTTCTTTACATTGTACTTGCTTTTCTGTTGGCACAATGCTGTCTTAGGATTGTTCTTGGAGCATGTTTGAAAGGCTTGATGATCCTCGAACAGACCTTTGCAAAGAAGGGCCTTTCAAATGTGACCAAATGAAGTCCACTAAGGCATCCCTTCCATAGTGGGTCCCTTCTTGTAGGTGTTTGCGGATGGGATACACTAGTTCCTCAGGGAGTAAGACCATACCATGGGCGCTGACCTTCCACACAGAATTGGGATCAGTAGGTGAGCTGCATAATAACTCAGGGAGCCATCTGTGGGCCACTTTCCCCACACTCCAAAACATACGTAGGTCAAACAGTATTGCACTAATAATCCAGTACCTCCTTGGACATGGGGTACTGGCAGTACATACTCCCATCCTCCAGAGTTCTACCCAGTGGGCTCCCCAAGGGACCAGCATACAACTGCCCTTATTGTGCTGGCCATACATGCAAAAAGCTATAACCAGAAAAATACAGCCAACCTGGGACCAGCATGTAAACAAAACTATCATCCACAACTCCATTATTCCAAATGGCTTTCACAAGCAAATTTTAAGCCAAATAGTCTCACTTCTCAGAGCCTGCCCCCTTCCCAGGGCCATTTCCTTTCCACAGTCACAGTTCAGCTCCAAGAATCTCTCAAGGATCCAGGTGGTTAGGCAGGTCCCCTGCAGCTCTGTCAGCCCTGCCACTGTCTCCTGCAAGCAGACTTGAACCTGGGTGGCTGGGCAGGTCTCCTCTCACCCACCGTACCACCAGCTCCGGCAACTCACTGCACTTCTGACTTTCAGACCTTTCTCTTACTCCAGACCACGTGACTCTTCTCTTACTTTCAGATCTCCTGGTGTCACAGGTGGGCAAAGGTAACCAGGTTCTTGGTGATCGCAGATAAAGAATTGAACCGAACACACAGAGTTTATAGCAGGAAGGGAAAGAGCAGATTTATTAAGTGATAATACACTCCAAAGACTATGAGAGCGAGCCAACTCCAAGCAGAGATTGACCTCAGGGACTGGAGGGTTTCCATTCTTATAGGCGGATATTTCCTGGCTAGTTTTGACTGGCTTTTATTGCACATGTACAAGTAGTTACAGTGTTTTAAAGCTACTGCGCATGTGGTCTCTCATGATTTTCTTTTGTCACCAGGGAAAGGGATCACACAATGTTAATTTATTATAATGCTGTTATAATGAAGCAGGAGTCATATAGCATCGTCTGCACAGGTGCATTCATGATTCACCATGATTCAGCGCTTTTCCAGAAAGGGGGAACAACCGGTCTAGAACAGGGTCTCTGTCCTGTGTCAGTGTCCCTTATCTTAGCCCTGGAGCTCCTCCAGAGTTTCCTCCTTCCTGACCGTCTCCTGCCTCACCAGCAGACCTCCTCTCTCATACTCCAAACCCTGTGGTGGACCTCTCTTCTCTTTTAGCCTGCCCTTATTTAAATACTCAGCTTAGAACTTCCTGTGTGATCTCATTTCCGGCCCTTTCTATGATATGTTAGTGTCCACCATTTTTGCCAGTTCCCCTATATCTTTTACTTTCTTTTGGCTGCCATCTTTAGTCAGGGCAAAAGTTCCCAGTGATACAGGGACATCCAGGGTGGGCACTGTCCCCCTGCCTCTTGAGCAGGCACTGTATGAGCTCTCCTGACTATGTCAGGAGTTCCTGAGCATTTTCACAGTCATGGTCAAGTACACAATTTGCCCTGGTTGGCAGCCCTCTTCCTTTGAGGAAGGCACAGCTATTAACTTGCCACTGTTATGCAGTGTATCCTAACCACTGCATCATCTGCTCTTCTACTCTAACCTTCCCCCAGTCAGGGATTGTGGGGGATATGTCTGCCCCTGCTATAGTTTTGCTGATATTCATAGATGGTACCTATAAGGGAATTAATAATACTTTTTTACTAAAACTTTCTTTATCCTCCAGGCTGGTGGACCATGTCCAAAGTTTAAAAAAATAAAAGATTCTTTGTGTTTAGCCTTCTCTCACTTGTAGTTAAAGAACAGGATCAGTTTATCCAGGAAGAATAGGAAAGAAGTGAAAAATGAATATAGGAAAAGTGTTTGTTTATTTTTAAAGATTTTATTTATTTCTAGAGAGGGGAAGAGAGGGAGAGAGGGAAACATCAATGTGTGATTGCCTCTCATGTGCCCCCTGCTAGGGACCTTGCCCACAACCCCGGCCTGTGCCCTGACTAGGAATCGAACCAGCAACCCTTTGGTTCGCAGACTGGCACTCATTCCACTGAGCTACACCAGCCAGGGTGGAAAAATGTTTTAACCACACTTTTAGAAGAATATTTCCTTCACACAAAAGTGAAAATGTTTTTCATGATTATAAGTAGGATCTAGATTTGTTATATTTGGATTTATCTCATGTGCTTTGGCAAATGTTCATCAGTTATTGGTGGTGTGAACTGCTGGGCAGTCAGCAGTGAAAGTCAATGCAAATTCTTGTTAGTTCACCTGGTTTGAATAATAAGTGAAGAATGTAATTATACTCTTAGTTTATGTTAAAGGACCTACTTGATTTTAAAATGAATGTAGACTCTCTTTTAAATAGCAATAGAAAATAATCTTCATTTTCCCCCCTCCAGGTGTGAGGTAGAAAATCGATACCAGGGAAACCCTCTCAAAGGAACATGTTATTGTAAGTGTTTTTGTCATTCTTACCTGTCTAGAAGCATCGTAGTTCAGTAAAACTTCATTATTGCCTTTAACATTGTTTGAGAATGGTAAGTGCTATAGGAATATAGCAGTGACCCATGGAATTATCCCCTTATTTGATGTGTTCACATTCTATTAAATCTAATACATAGATGGATATGATTTTAAATTGCTTTCTTTGTGGTTGTGGTTTATGTTAATGTGTGCATAGCAGATATCGAGGAAGAATGCAGAGATACACATCTCTGGTTTTCTTGTTTATGTTCTCTTGAAACCTTATTTCATTTTTTTGTCACCTGGTTGTCATTAATTGGTTTCTTATTTTAGGATATAGATCCAAAAAATAATTCTTAAAATATAGTTAAAGTCATTCTCTCTGAAACTGGCTTGTGTTAATCACCTCTTTAGGAACTAATATATAAAATAAAACTCTAATGATTAGCTTATAGTGAAAGGTAAGTCTGGCAAAGCAACCAGGTCCTTATGGGTAAATGCCTTTTCTTCCAATGGGAGAATCCACATAGTAGGCCAGATTATGGAACCAGAGAAAAAGGAGTTAATGTTTGGCCTATCCACTATAACTGTATACCTGCTTTCCTGGGTTGAATCTCTTCAAAATTCATGTCCACCTGGAACTTATCAAAAAAACTTCTTTTTTTTCTAGGAGAAAAGAGAAAAACTTTATAACCTTGTATAGGGGAAAGAGCTCTGAGATACAATTACAAAAGCACAATTCATAAAAGAAAATGTTTATTGGTACTTACAAAATTTAAAGCTTGTATTTTAAAAAACACCATTAAAAAATAAAAAAATAAGAGAGAAACTAGAGAAAATGTTTGCAAAGCTTATATTTGATAAAGGGCTCATTTCCAGAACATAGGAGAAACATTTACAACTGAATAAGGAGATAATTGCAATTAAAAGCAGACAAAGATTTAAATACACATTTCACCGAAGAATATATGTGAATGGCTAATAAGCACATTAAAAAATGGGTAACATTAGACATTTGGGATCTATGTATTAAAATCCCAGTGAGATACATCCCTAGAATGACTAGAATGAAAAGCCAGTGCTGTGGCTCACAGGAAGACAGCCGGATTCTCACATCCGCTTCTACCTCTGTTACGGCATCTCTTTGGTAAAAGTACATGAGAAGAGCCTCGCCTCACCAGACATACAGTAGGAAAAGGGAGTATTTTAATAACCATCTCCGATAATTACGGATGTTACCCTTTGATACCATACCAAAACCAGACAACTGGTCGTGTTTTTGAGGTTAATTACCACGTGGAACATGAAACCACCTCAGTGAATTATTTTGCAGTCTTGTACATTTATAAACTATTTATTGTATTGTAAAACAAAAACCAATACCAAGTTTTAACTGTGCTGTGGAGAAATTTCATACATTTTCTGTGGGAATGTAAAATGGTATATAGTCTCTTTGGAAAACCATATGGCAGTTTCTTAAACAGTTAAAAATAAAATTACCAACAACTCCCCATTTATAGCATTATATCCTTAAGCACAACCTAGCAGGTAATCGACGTTCAGTTAATATTTGTAGGTGAGGTAGATTGGGACTTAAGATCTCAGCCAGGGCCATGATCTAAGGAGGGTTTGGTGGGTTAACCCAACAAAATGATACTGTCCACAGACTTGATTTCCTTTGAAAACCCCCAGCCCCCAGGTATAAGTGAGCCAGAAGTGCTTTCCTGGCCATTCAGTATTTGTGAGATAATCAAGGTGTATTTCTAGAGACCTGTTATGTTTTATTTCAGTTTTAAATACATGTGTCTTTCTTTCTGTAGACACTCTTCTTATTGACTATCAGTTCACCTTCAGCCTGTCCCAGGAGGATGACCGCTACTACACAGCCATCAATTTTGTGGCCACACCTGATGAAGTAAGATTTCATAGCCTTCTCACTTTGTTTCGAGTTTATGTGAATTTTTTTGTCATTATGGTTAGCAGCACTGTCTTAGCAGTGGAGCACTCTTGATGATGTTTAAAGGTACAGGAAAAAAATGTTAGAACCTACATTTTATCTCTTTTCCACCTAAAAAGCAGGAACGGTATTAGGATTTTCTAGTGTCTAGTACACAGACTGACATCTACCCTACACATACTTGGTTTGCCCATCAGCCCATTGCGCCCCCATACAGAAAAGGAGAAGAGACTGCAAGGGCAACTCCCCGATCTGAGGAACAGATGGCAGAGCCCACATTTAAACCAGAGGCTTAAGAGTACCCATAAAGAAACTGTGATTGACATCAATGGCAGTGGTGCAAGGGAGGTGGCAGAGGTGACACTTCTCATATAGTAAGTTGCAAACCTCATTAGTATGTAAAAACAGTGAAGGTTTAGTTGGGTCCAACAAGTCAGCCAGCCAGAAAAAATTGAAATTATTAAGGCAGCTATTTGATACGTGGATTTATATTTACTGCAGTTAATGATGAACCCCAGCTTGCTGTAAGGCATTCGGTAGTCGAAGGGAGCCAGCATAGCACATTTAAAGGTGGAGCATCTGGAACGTGAAGACACACCCACACAGTTTCTTCAGTGAAATAGAGAGTCATTCATTACCCACTCCAGTATACAATGAGATTTTTCTAAACTTGATGATAAATTATTTAGGAGCCTCCTTAGTTTTTCATTTCTCATCAGTGTACTTTCAGTGAAAATATTTTGTGGAAAAACTGTATAGCCATATCATTCGAGGGGTTGTCTAAAGTGGGAGTTTTAAAGAAGATTTTAGGATAAGGTTATAGCAAAAGCACCAAACATGAAATTTATTTACTACTTTATTCATGAGCAAGTGGTTGAAGTGCTCAGTCTTTCAGGATATAGTTGATGTTGTTAATTTTATTTTAGATAAGCATAGTAGAGTCTCAGGAATACTTCTTAGCGAGACCTGGAATGACCATGAATATCTTTGAACTTCCCGGTGGTTCCCTGTTTATCTTATGACAGAATATTTTATAGAGTTACCCAGCGTGTGTGTTCTATCTTTTAAAAAAGCACTAGGAATCCAAATTTATTGATCCTTTTAGTGGAAGAAGTAACTGTTGGTAGGTGGTGTGCTGCCAGCAAATTAAAAAAAAACAACAACACTTGAGCTGTCCTTTCAAGAGGAAAGTGAGGTTATATCAATAAGTGAGAAGGTATCTGCTCTGTGAGGGAAACTTCTGGTTTGGAGATTCTATTTTGAAAATGTTTCCATTGTTGTGTTTTTTTCCCATTAAAACCAGCAACACAACACCCTTTAAGAATCTTAATTTTCTAATGTGCTTTATGATTTTGCAAATTGAAGACTTTCAGAAGGGTTGGATCTATTGTAAAATATAAAAATACAGCATCTGGTTTATTTTTTTAAATATTTATTTTTAGAGAGAGGGAAAGGAAGGGAGAAAAAGTGTGAGAAACATTGATGTGAAAGAGAAACATCCATCAGTTGCCTCTCATACACGCCCTAACTAGGGACTGAACCCACAACCCAGGCATGTGCCCTGACCAGAAATTGAACCAGTGACCTTTCACTTCGCAGGACAGTGCACAACCCACTGAGCCACACCAGTCAGGGCTACTGCATTGGTTTATTTGCAGAAATAATCCTTTGACCCCAAGAAAGATTTATTTACCAAATGTCAATAAAAAGTAAAAATTAGTGTTAAAATTTATGCAGCATGGTCAACAGTGAACTTCTCCAGTTGGCTCACCACAATTCTGAGATGTCTTTTTAATCATTAAAATAAAAAATCAAACTAGTTCTTCAAATTGCTGTATCTCTAAGTGGTAAACAAGCTTTTCAGAGCTAATGAAATACATTTAGTGATCTTTCACTTGAAATAATATTTTTAGTGAGAGAAAAATGTTATTCAAATCATGAATGAATATAATCAAATTATTCAGTTTATTTCAAATTTATATGCTTTTTAAAAATCCATTTCTATTTTGGAGAACTTTACACTGTATATAATTTAGTAGTTCAGAAGTACTTAGGCTGAAAGTCACTGTGCTCTGATGAGTTGGTTTTTTTTTTTAAGATTTTTTTTCATGGAGTTGACATTTGATAAACCATTACATTTCATATATTTTAATGGAAGAGAATTCAGATTTATTTGGGGTATATTTCTTATATTAGTTAGAAATTTTGCTAACTCTAATATCAGTTTCTCTTAAGACATAGTAAAATATCTGCTTTGTAATTAAGAAAGATTCCCTGGCCCTCGTGACTCAGTGGATTGAGCATGGGCTTGTGAACCAAAAGGTTGCTGGTTCAGTTCCCAGTCAGGGCACATGTCTGAATTGCGGGCCAGGTCCCCAGTTGGAGGCATGTGAAAGTCAACCATTTAATGTTTCTGTCCCCCTCTTTCTCCCTCACTTCCCCTTTCTCTAAAAATAAAATAAATAAATCTTGTTTTTAAAGGTAAAAATAGTAAACTTTAATTACTGCTTTATTTTAAAATCTGGAAACTATTCTAATTAATTTTCTAATTATCTGTACCTGTCCTCAGCAAAACAGGGATTTGGACATGTTCATCAATGCCTCCAAAAACTTCAACCTCAATATCACCTGGGCCGCCAGCTTCTCAGGTAAAAATCTACCTAGAGAAGACCTTCTGCATGGAGGTAATAGATTAAGAAACATGATGTAGAAGTTGAGAAATGGGGCTCTGAAGACAGACAGATGGGTTTGAAACCCCCCTTTGCCACTTATTAGCTGGGAAGCCTTGAGCAATTTCTAAACTCCTCTCTAGATTTTAGGGCTATTCATCGTAAAGAGAATGTTGTGTAGATTAAATCAGGAGCTGCACGTCAGTGCCTACCGTGGCGTCAGGCTCAGTACATGCTCACCATCTCTGGCTGTTCCCACCACCACCAGCATTGCCGCAGCTCTGTGCTGGCTCTGCCGCCATCATCCCCATCCCTGCTTCAGAACTGAACGAGGCAAGGGACTCGTAGATTCAAGAAAGGGGGACAAAGTAGAATGAGATTTCAGTAGGTACAGGGAAATGTACTTTGGGAATTAAATGAAACTCTGGAGCACAGCTTTTTCTATCCTGTTTATCTTACCACGGGTCACCGAAAATGTGCCAGCGCAGAAAATCTACTAAAAAAGTGAAGGGTAGGCCTTACGTAGTGATTAAGAACATAGCTTGACTGGCCTAGGTTTGAATTCTGCCTCTTACTTACTGTACTGCACTTTGCTATCAGGCGAAATATTTAAGCTTTCTGACCCAGTTTCTCGTGTAAGAAACACCTAACCATGCAGAATGTCATGGGAACTAAGTGATGTAATAAAGTACTCAGTATAGTGCTTGCAGAATGGTAAATTCTCACTAAATGTTTCATTATTATTATTATTATTATTATTATTATTATTATTATTATTATACAGTTCTGGATTTTGATCAAAACACAACTTATTTGACTGAAACAAAATAAAATCAGTACTTTTTTTGCCTGTCACTTTATATTTATGATGTCTTAAAAGATTGTGTAGAATTCAGAAAAAATTCAGAAACTTGCAGTGAGGAGAGACTTTTAAGAAAAGGTACGCATTACTGGAGTATTTGTCTTGAGAAAGGCAACCTTTCTGAGCATGTGGTGATTTACAGTGACTGTCTCAATGAGGACCTGACACCCTGGGCTCCAGTTACAGATTTAACTCAGACTTGGCAAGAATCTATTTCATGAATCTTTGTAAACACTAGAATTCCCGGCAGAGGGAGAATATGGAATGCTGAAAGACTTTTAGGGAATACATGCATTTATACCAGATTGGGGGGATTTAAAAACAGTTACAGCCGGCAGCAGAAGGGACCGACTGACCCTTAGAGTTCTGTCCTCCCTGCTACTGCTGAGACTTGAGGTCACTGCTAGTTGGGAAGTGAGGGGAGAATCCGTGTCCCTGGTAGGGCACGTATGGAACACTGCCAGACAAGTGTATACGGGGAATGCAGAGCAGTCAAAGTGCAGTGGGCACAGTAGGTGCCATTGCTGCTTAATAGGATTCTAGTGGTATCTGTATTTTCACGGCCACCTGCAGCCCATTTCAGTGGAGGGGAGTTGTAGGGATTCCTGGTAAAACATTCTAGTTAAGGACATGGGCTTGTATGTCAACCTTCCCAGTTTCAAATCCCAGCTCCACTTCTTGTCAGCTGTGTGACCCGAACCAACTTGCTTAGTTTCTCTGAGCCTCACTTTCCTAATCTGTAAATGAGGATAATAGAGTTATTGTTAAGGTTAAATGCTATTGAACTCTTAAAAGCTGTTTCTGGGACGTAGTGTTTAATAAATGCGATTATCCTTATTAGTAATGAAGGTAGATCCTGTCCTCCCCAAAAAGGCTCTTCTGTTTTCTTTTTTCCTTCCTGATAGCTGGAACCCAAGCTGGAGAAGAGATGCCTGTTGTTTCAAAAACCAACATCAAGGAGTACAAAGATAGCTTCTCTAATGAGAAGTTCGATTTTCGTAACCACCCAAATATCACTTTCTTTGTTTACGTTAGTAATTTCACCTGGCCCATCAAAATTCAGGTAAGATGTGTTTTGTGGTCTCATCTGCAGACATGGTGAACTCTCTTTAGAGGAGACTAAACTCACGAATTTGGAACTTGTGATAAATGATATGTACAGTATTGCTTTGCCTCTGTAATATCCGTGGCAAAGGAGGGCTGAGCATGTGAATGATACTGTAGGAGACTGTAGTGGGGATGGTGTAAACCACTTGGGAAGGAAAGTTACCAGCGATTGCAAGTTGAAAGCAAGTTGGCATGTAACAAATTTGATAATTATAACTCTAACTTCTTCATTGAGCACTCGCCGTGTAAAAATTTGTAGAGCTACATAAAAAGCTTCAATTCTGATGTGAGTAAGGTGGATGTAAGGGAAACAAACACACTTATAACCAGAGAAAGCCAGAGTGTGGCAAGTGCTGCGTGAAAAGGTCCCAAAAATGCTATCAGCATTTAAAGGAGGATGGGATGGTGTGTAACAGGAGGCAGTTCAAGATCGCATTAAAGGGCCTAGGCCTTGTAGTCAAACAGACGGGGGTGTGGCTCCTGCTGTACAGTTCAGGTTCCCTCCCCATCTCAGGGTTTTTATGTGTGTGACCTGAGAGGGGAAGTCGAAGGATTCATGTCCCTGCTACAGCCCCTGCTGTTGTTCATTTGCTCATTTTCTCTGTTCCCAGGGGACCAGTGGACTCCCTCTCATCCAAGACCCATGGTCCATTTATGCTTTTTATAATCATTGGCTACTATGTCCTTGCAGCCTTGCTTTAATACTTTTCACTTTCACCCCCTCCATTTTGGGTAAATGTGGAACTTAGGGATAGGCGGGCTTTTAGGAACTGATTCACCTTTAGCCAGGGAAGCCTGGCCATTGGACAGGGGCTGTGGCTGTCTGCCACCTTTCAGAAGCATGGTCAGCAGATGCAAGTTGTCACAGATCAGTTAGGATGGGGGTGCCTCCCAGTTCTGGTGGTTTCATATTCATGCTGCAGAGCTGTGGCTAAAGAGCAGTCTTCTCCTTTCTAGGATGTGGAGGACAGGCTCGGTGTTGTATTTTTTCTAACCACCCTCTTTTCCTTCTAAATGGTCTACAAGTTCATCCTCTAATCTGCTTGTCCTTTTGCTCTTGCACACAGTCTGCTTTCTTCCTCTGCCATCCTTCTTACAAGCATTGACCGCATTCCCTACTTACATTTTCTCTCATTCATTCATTCATTCATTCATTCACACATCAGCCCAAAACAGTCTGCTGCCTCCCCTCAGCACACCCTGACACTGCCCTGTCTCAGTGAACTCCAGTGACTGAATTCTCAGTACTCTTTCCTTCATAGAGTGACTTGAATCACTGTCTTTCTTGCCTTCCTTGTCCTTTCTGTCCCTGATTCTGTGGCCAGTCTTTTTAGGGAATCTCCTTCCTTAAACATTGGGTTGTCTGGGATTCGGGTTGGTTCTCTTCTGTTTTCATCCCAGTTTCTCTGGATAATCCCATGCCATCTGTAGGTACTACTTCTGTACTGGAGATTCTCAATGCTCTGGCTCCAGCTCAGCTTATACTTGAGCTCCAGACCAGTAAGTACTCTTGGTTGCTGTCTAGACATCTCTACCTGGACATTCACAAGCTCTGCACTCAGCACAGGGCTGTTCTGGTGACCTTAGCCCCAAACCCTGTGCTTCCTTTCCCAGTGAATGGCACCACCAAGATTCACCGTGTTTTACAACCCGGACCTGGGAAGTCATTTGCATTCCTGGGATAATCCTGACTGGGGTGTGATGTGTTGTTTTCTTACTTTGAGTGTTGCTGCGATGCAAAACTTACTTTAAGTCTGCTAATATTTCGGTTAGAACATTATATCTATTTCATGAGTAAGAATGTCTGATAATTTTCCCTCCCTGTCCTTTTTATGGTTTTTATATCAAGGTCAAACTAACCTTTCATAATTATAAGTTGAGGAGTTTTTCTTATATCTGGAAGAGGTTATATAAGATTAGAATTAACCTGAACCTTGACTGTTGGTACCTGCTAGATCTCATATAAAATCATTTGATTCTGGTGTTTTATATGTGGGGATTTTTTAAACTGCTGATTCAATTTCTTTAATAGTTATAGGATATTTTGGATTTTGTCTCTCTGAATCACTTAGGATAATTTTTTATTTCATGTATTTTTCAAATGTATTGACACAAAGTTTTTCACACGGCCCTTTATCAAATCTTTGCAGCATCTCTGCCTAACTGTACTGAATCATATGCTTAAAAATGGTTATAATGGTAAACTTTGCTTAAATATATTTTACCCTAACCAAAAATAGTTTTAAAACTCTCAAGATTTTTTGCCAATATAAACAAGTTTATTTTAAACTTTACATGAAAAGGTAAAGATTCTAGAATAGCTATAGCAGTTTTTAAAAAGGAATAAAGTAGGAGGAATCACTGTATGCAGCGTTAAAGCTTCTCACTTAGCTAGAGTATCCAAAGCATTGTGGATATTGGTGGGGGACAGACAGAGATCACGCAACAGAACAGACAGGGAATAAAATAAAGAAGCCTGAACTAGATCCACATAAATATGTCCGACTGATTTTTGACATTGGCGCAAAGACAGTTCAGTGGAGGAAAGATAGCCTTTTCAACAAATAGTACTAGAACAACTGGGCAACTGTAGGCAAAAAACAAAAAAAGAACTTTAACCTAAACCTCACATCTTATATAAAAATTAATTCAGTGTGGATCACAGATTTAAATGTAAAACTAAACTATAAAACTTTTAGGAAAAAATAGAAGATCTTTACATCTTAAGACTAAGCAAAGGTTTTTAGACTTGACAGCAAAAACAGACCCATAAAAGGAAAAATTGATAAATTAGACTACATCAAAACAAAAAGGTTTTCTTCTGTGAAAGACCCTGTTAAAGGGATGAATAAAAAGTCTACATACTAGGAGAAAATATTCACAAACCATAGTTTCGACAAAGCACTTGTATCTGGAATATAAGAATAATTCTCAGAGTGTAATGTTGAAAAACAAGTAATTCATGTAGAAAATGGACAAGCACTTCACCAAAGAGGATATACATATATCATATATCAAATAACCACATGAGAAGATGTTTAGGATCAAAGCTATTAAGGAAATGAAAATTCAAACCACAATGAGATATCACTGTACACCTATCAAAATGCTAAAATTGAAAATAGTAATAACACCAAACAGCGAATGCTAGAGAGGTTGCAGAGAAATCGGATCATGTTGTGCTGGTGGGAGAGTGAAATGGTACAGACACTCTGGAAAACAGTTTGGTATTTTCTTATACAATTGAACTTGCTCTTACTGTGCAACCCAGCAATTGCATTCCTGGGCATTTATCCCAGAGAAATGAAAACTGATGTTTAAACAGACATCCATACAGCAGTATTTAGCAGCTTCATTCATAGTAGCCCCAAACTGGAAACAAGCCAAGTATTATTGAACAGGTGAATGGTTAAATAAATTGTGCTAACACATGCCGTGGAATAATACTCAGCAATGAAAAGAAACAAACTCTTGATACAAGTTGCATAATTCCCAAGGAAATTTTGCTGAGTGGGTGAAAAATTAGAAATTGGCATTCTACATGATTCTGTTTCTGTAACATTTGAAAATAAAACTTTTAGAACAAAAATTTATATAATCTACTGAGGTTTCAACTTTCTCTGACTTCCTCTGACCTCTAGACCCCCTTTGGAAAGGGGTCATCTGATTAGATCAGATCCACCCACTCTCTGATGGAAGAGATTATACGGAGTATACATACCAACACAGTGGGAATCTTGGGGGCCAGCCAGGGGTTTAGGTTACTCATCTGACCCCAAAGGGTTGAACTGTAAGCTCCAGGTCAGTGCAATTTCAATTTGTAACATCTTCTAACACTGTCAAATAGAGATCATCTATATTTGTAAGATACTTGATTTGTGCTCTAGTAAATACTATTTATTGACTTATTTTAAGTTGAGATTGTTTTCATAATGGCATACCTTGCGATATTCTGAATCCATCTGAACTTCAGACTTTGTTGCTTATAGCTGAAAAATAATTAATAGTTTTTAAGATTCCTAGTGAAAATCTTGACTTAATGCTGCTGACGTTTTTCCCATTTGGAAAGAGGGCTCCGTGCACATAAACAGGCTTTTGTGCTGGAGATAGCCGTGCGGTTGCCAGTGCGGAGCTCTGGTTTTTTCCCTCCCGATGCCCTGTTGCTCCACCCTCTGAAAGTCCCTGAAATGGTTTTAGAGCATTTCCTTCTAGAGGGATCTCTTCCCCACACTTACTTTTTAAAAGTACCAATTTTAAGTTTTAAGATTCAGAGATGTCGATTTTCTGGCTGATTTTTTGGTGCTCTGTGCCTGGGCTGGATCGCTCTCATGGATAAGATCCCCTTGTGAAAGCGGCATTCAGGAGCACTTCTGAAAATAAACGATGGCGTGCTCACCGTTTAGTTTGCCAAGCTTTCCTTGAAAAAGCAGGTAAGTTCTATTGAAAATGTGTCCTCTTGTTCTGTGGTGTGTGTGCAGACAGTGAGAGGAGACCTGCAGCGTCGGGTGTTCTCAGCGTCCTCACACGCCGCTGGTTCTCTGCACTTGGGACTGCATCTGGGTGTGCACTGGGCGGAGGGCTGGGCTGAGACTTCCTAGGCAGATGCAGTCTCATTCTCAGCAATGAGAGCTATATGTCTCTTTCTTGTTCTGTTTTCCTCGGAGCCTCTGCTTTTCTAGATGTAGGTAGCTCTTCAACACGTATGCACACGTAGAGACTACAAATTCAGTAAAATGGAAAGAACAGGGAATGTCTTAAATGGCACTGTGTAGGCCATTCAGTTGAATTTCAGTATGGCTTTCAGTGCAGGCAAAATAACTTCTTTTTTTTTTTTTTTAAGCAAAATAACTGAGGAAATCTAATTCTCTACTCGCAAATTCGTGTAAACATTGGTACTTTAAAAATGGTAATGCTAAACTCAACTTCCTTCTCTCTGAACTGATTCCAGGATTCTTT